GGCCCAGATCACAGGTTTGCCCGTCCACACACCGCGGGGATCGGGGCGAACGGGAGAGCGCGGGGGATGCCGCCGCTTCGGGGCCCCGGCGGCTTTTCTTTGCCAGGTACCGCTTGTCCCCGCCGCCTGACCCGCGCAGCCAGGGCGACAGGGAATGGGAGCCAGATGGGCAAGTTCAGGGCTAAGCCTATGAAGGTGTAACCCGGGGGTGGGGCGCCCCCCCCCGAACGAAGCGAAGCCGCTTGCAAATCAAAGCGGTGTGATCCTGCCCCGAGCGGCTGTTCCCTTTCTCCGGCTCCACTGCGCCGCTTCCAATCCCTCCCCTCTCCCATTCACACGTGAGAGGAGCCAAGGGGGGAAAGGCAGGGAAGGATCGAGCTTGTGGGCTGCCGAAGCTGCTCTTCTCTTTCACAGCTACAGCTGGGGCGCTACCGCCAGCTCAAACAAGAAGGGAAGGTGGAGCCGGCCGTGCCAACGCCGGGCACCGCTCCAGGGAGGAAGGTGGGCAAGGAGCCGCGCAGAGAGAGCGGGGCGTCGGGGTCACTCTGGGCCGCTGTGTCTCTATTATGTAGATTCTAGAGGGACGGGAAATGGCCAGGATGGAAATAGCCGGGAGGGCTAGGCTGGCATGACACGCGGCTCCGCTGTCGGTGCTCTGGGGTGAGATGGTTACACAGCAGCCTCGGGTACACGGAGACCACACTTCATGCAGGGCCCGATCCGAAGCACCCTGAAGGGAAGGGATGTCCTTTTAATGAGCCCCAGAGAGAGAAGCGATCGGAGCACCGGAGTGCAAGTAAGACGCTACTGAGCTCTCACTCTGCCACCGACTCCCTTTGTGGCCTGGGACCTTAACCTTGCTGCCTCAGTTTCCCCCACCTGTAAATGGGACTCACTGGACTGACCGGGTTAGTTCGTTGGTTTGGAGGATGAGCGGACAGCGTTTGGAACGGCTAGAACCCCATAGTGTTGCCCGTTTCACCACGCATGACGGTTGACCTAAAAAGCCCACTCCCTGTGTTTATAAACCTTATTACAGAGAACCCCACATGTGTGCATTACTCCTTGTACAGATAATACACCCGGAAAGGAATAGATTCCTCTTTGTCACCTGGCCCTCCTCTTGCCCTGACATTGGTGATGTTCCCTCGCTCATTTACACGAAAATCCGTGACTTCTTTGGAAACCGTACTTCATAATGGCCCAAGAGTCGATCATTAGATTGTTATCCCAGTTTATTTCAGTACAAGGCAGTCATTTAGACTCTTCCCGGATGGTTTATGGGTGTATTTGCCGAGACACTTAAAAACTAAGCCACTTGAATCCAGAAATTAAATCCCCGTTGAAACCTTGGCTCTTCTATTGCAATAGTTGAAATCGCTTGGCCATGAGTTTGTCGATGGGAAAGGAAGCAGGCATGAAAGGCCTGTCACCGGGTTAGATAGCCAGCTAGCATCAGGTGTTTTAGAAGTGTCCAGCGAAAAGACGTACGAAGAAGAGACTCTGGGGCGTTTTGGTGACATAGGGCCTGATCCAAAGACCATGCAGTCAAGGAAAAGTCTTTTAGGCTTTGAATCAGGCCCACCGAAAAGGATCCTTAAATGTTTCCATTCTAAGAGCCCTAGGTAGGATTTGATCCCACTCCATCAAATCAAATTCTGTAATGACAGTCCACAGCCGCATCAATAACACTCTGCCCAAAAAGCCAGCACAAGCATAGTAACGAAGATTGACTAAAAGTTGTTTCTGACAGCTACCTGTATATAACAAACACGATAAAACGGATGTGTGAACAATGAGCCAATTTTTTTGGCCAAAACGAGTCTATAATAATTTTGTTTAATCGAAAGTTTAACAAGCAAATAAAAAATTGCAACTCAGACAGATGGGGGGGGGGACAACAACAGCGAATTATTTCCCAAAGACAGAAAGTTGAGACTATTTTCTGCACATAGATGGAAATTCTCTTATGGTTCCTTGTACTCACCAAAGAATATTTCAAATGTCCAATATTGTAAATTGCAGCTAGCAATTTTCCTCCGACTTCCACTCACATTAAAAAAAAAATGATTTGGGGCTTTTGGCTTAATTTCCCCCAGAATGAGCCTTCCAACTTTCTTCCACCACCAATGTTGTAATTCAGCCTGAACGGGCAGCAAATTGAGAGACTAGCAAACTTTTCCCTGTCTAAATGGGTCAGCTGCCGGCTCTGGCCAAGGCACACAACCTCCTCCCTTTTCGGTGCTGTTGAGATGTGATAGTGCTGAGAAGCAACGTGGAGACGCCAACGGGACTTGTCAGGAGAGCAGGATTTTGCGGCGGGATTGGATTCAGCCCGGGACAGGTCTTGTAGCACCGTTTCTATTTAACCCCGTGAAGCGGAGTAACAGGAAGGCACGTACTTCCTAGCTGTACCTGGCCAGCGGGCAGCTTGGGAAGTAGAACTCTTGCACTTTGCCGCAGTTCACCGTTTAGCCAAACTTTCTCCCAGTCCCACCTCCCAGTGCGCTAGAAGAAAACAGAAGCAAAGAGAGGTTTCAGAGTAGCAGCCCTGTTAGTGAGCTGTAGCTCATGAAAGCTTATGCTCAAATAAATTGGTTAGTCTCTAAGGTGCCACAAGTCCTCCTTTTCTAGAAGCCAAGAGAATTATTCCCGACGCTACTCAGCGCGCATAAACGACATGGATTGCCTGATCCAGGGAGCGTGACACGTTCCTGTGCCGGGAATTTGGCTCAGCATTTGTTGAACTGGAAAGGAACAAGCGGGAAAGTGTCATTCATAGCCCCAGTTGCTGCCTTTTGGCCCCTCCCAGCCACTTTTACCAAGGGCCCTTTGGAGCTGATGACACCGCTGGGCCCCCTCACAGGCAGACTGATTAGATTAGACGTGATTGCTGTAGTTTATGCCCATCGCTGGTATGCTTAAACAGACCGGGTGCATGTAATACGGGGAGCTGGGAGCGCTGCTCCAGGGTCACTTGTCATTATAATTATGTGCGATTAAAGGATTTATACCTGAAAAGTTTTAATTTGCACCCGGTTACTTGGTTGTCCTGGCGGGTCGTAGCCTGCGTGGAGTTTGCACGGGTGTAAAATAGAGCAGCAAACACATTGGTTTGGTTTTGGTTCAGACAACGTTGTTTTTTGCTGGCGGATTCACTAAAAAAGACGGTTTATTTTAAAATAACAATGTCAACATCCTTGCCATGGACTAATATATATTGCTGGGGAGAAAAAATAAACCACCGAGTTCAGCAGCTAATGATGCCTAAATGTCCTACGCGACCAAAAAATCCTACATCGACCTTCCTTCAGCACATAGCATGGATACTTCAGAAATGAACCCTGCTGATTTCCAAAGGACTTTGCTGATACCATCATATCATAACAGCTCCATTCATTATTGTACTGGCTCGTGAAGTATGTCAATGGCTAGCTTCTCACTCCGCCAGATCAGGGCAGTAGGGAACAACAATTCACTACGGAAGAGGAATGCAACTTAGAGTCCTGCCAAAAGGTTGTTGACTGGAGCGGTTACAACTGAACTTGTTCCAGTAAAATTACACTGGGTCCTGTGGCTCTGATCCTCAACCAGAGGTCTATGTTCCCCTCTTCTTTTTGGGGGAAATCCTTTATATAAACCATTTCTCGTTTGTATTTTAGCGAGACATTCATTTAAAAAAAATTAACTCTAATAGATCACAACAATAACAACAACCAGGGGCTAATTTCCCTATTGAAAAAGCCATGGCAGTGCCGGGCTAATTTACTCCATTGTGTCCAGGTATGTCAAATTGCATGGTGTAGAGTATAAAGCGCTATTCTGGCAGTACAACAGAGCCGTGTAGGGGACGGAGTGGCAGTTTTTGCTCTGGATTTCCTGGCTTTTGTTTGGGGGGCAAATCACCCCTTTAACAATGCTGGATTGTAAAGATGTGATCCTGGTGATTGATTGATTGACTGATTGATTAGCTAATATGAACAAAGCAGTGACCGTAAACGAATCAAAGCGACTAAAAATAATAATCGGGCACAGAGGAAGCCGCCAGAGTCCTTCAATGAAGCAGGCAGGAGTATTGTCTGTAACCTCCTTGCTTCTTTCCTAGATCGCCCAGAAACATAATCCCGAATAAAACACGCTAGATTCCCGTCGCCTTCTCCTCCTGTAGCTAATCTGCAGCAAGTGAAAGAAGCTTGTTGTCTTTATCCAGATCCGAGGATGAAATGCAGCCTGTTCCTAGGGGGACTGTGAAACACGTCCAGGAGAAGATTAATACACGCAGCAGAAGGCTGGAGAAATTCTCATGCTTTTCAATTAATTTTTTACTTAAAAACGCAATGGAATTTATGTGTTTTATTACGAAGGAAGAAATGAAAGATTAAGGTTTAGGCGGTATTTTACATTGCTGTAATCGCCTTTGGGTTCAGATTGGAGTAATCTTGCCCACGAGATGAATTCGCCTGTGGCTCGGATTTAAACGCGCGTAGAGATATGTCATGAGAATAATGCAAGTGAGCAATATCAAGAACATAGTTTAGGAGCGAATGAAATGCAAAACCGATTACGGGGGGAAAGAGAACAGCACCTTTCCCAGACCGGATACGAAATTATTGTTCGGCGCTCAAACTTTTGCCCTTAATTCCTCAGAAGGTTTTTAACTCTGGGGAGGTCACCTGGGGTCTGCTACTTCCCCAGGCAGAACAGACCAGACTTCCCTCTCCAGGACAACCCACTCACCCTTTGAACGTCTCTGGAGAGAAGGGCCAGAGACTGGAAAAAAGAAAGGCAAACAAATGGTGAAACACCCCAGTTAGAAGACAGCCGAAAACGCCCTTTGAAAATAGAAGCAGGCAAGCTGTCACTCTGACCACCGCGAATCATTTCAGGAATACCTCCCTTCAGCGCCAGCTGTTCTGTTGGAGAGGCGCTCGTAGTTTACAGACCCTCCCGTCTAATATCGCTAGAAAACCGAGACCCTGAGTGAAATGCAAGGTCCGGGACAGGAGCAGAAAAAATCGTTACGCTGCTTTAAGAGCGTAACTAGATTTTCAGCAATTTTTGCACTCGCAAAAGTCCCTTCTCTCAAACAGAGGCTGAGCCTGCCAAGAGATCCGTGCCTCTGTTTATTAAGTTGGCTTGCACACAAGTTTTCAGCTACACTAGATACAGAGGGGAAAATATCCATTAACAAATAATGAATAATCAAGATTTCCAAAGCTCCCTCTTTACCACTTCAGCGTTAAGAAGGCCAGTATTATCCTAATGGACGGGCTGTAATTGCTGCTTTGGGATATTTACACTGCTCAAATGACATTACATATATGTCACTTTCCAACGCATGTCAAAAAGTCAATCCCAAAAAGACCAGTTAAAAGGAACCTGTTAACCTACCAAGTGGGTGGGATTTGAAGCCTCCAAACCCACCCCGTAATAATTCCTTTCTTTCCTATCAGCTAAGAGGAAATTTGTCGAGATCAAATTTAATGTAAATTGTTCGGAAGCAGGAAACTCCGCTAGAATAGGCACGAAATAGACCCGGGAGGTTTACACGCGAGAAAACGAAGATCTCTCAAATTGGACCACGTGACCCCCGCACAGGTTCGGGATCCCTAATCTGATTTTATTTGTGTCCCTGTCAAACTCACTCAGACGCAGTGTTTGCAGTTTTTCTGGTGCGCCTTAAAATCCGTGCCCCGCCGCTGGAGGAGTCCCTGGGCTTTCGGTGCCAAGGCAGGAAGCAGCAGGTAAGAAGAGGGCCCCGCCTATGGGAACCTGATCAGCGCTTAAAAGGCAGCAATTAAAGTCTTAACCGCGACCCATCTGCCGCTGGACCTCTCCAGCGGCCACCCCCCCGCTCGCCCTTTGTCTGCGCCCAGGAGGGAGCAGCGCCCAGCGGGAGAGGAAAGAGGACAAACGTGGAGCTCTGCCGGGCACCCTCAAGTCTGTGTCACCCAAACCCCGGCTCGCCGAACCCCCAGCTCGTCCCTTCTGTTGGCCCAGCCCTTGCTCTCCAGCCCTTGCTCAGCCCCCCACTTGCCACTACTTCAGCGGCCCCGGGCATCTCCCCACACCGCTGCCCACCACTCACAAGCCTCCCCCCGCGGGACTCCGAGGCCTTGGGGCTTTTGTCCCCGCCAAAGGGGCTCTGATCCCGCGCTATGGGGGAGGTTTGCATGCGCGGGGTCGCACGCCCAGCTGTGCTCCCAGGGCAGGGGTCACAGGCTGGTGCCCTGGGAAGGGACGGGATCCCGCACCCCAGGGCCCATGTTGCCTCGCCAGCGTGAAGCAAAGCTGAGCTATGAGCCCTGGATCAGTCTGTCCCTGCCCGCCCCATGGTCCTGGGGGAGCCCACCCTCAGCCACCCGTGCATCCGGGGCAGGGAGACCTCCCACTGCCAGCATGCCTAGAAGGGCCCGCCCTCCCAGGAGGCCTGCTGGAATCGCCACCCACTTCACCGCCCCACCGACTGCGGGCTGCCAGGGAAGAGGGGCCCTGGGTACCTGGCTCTCCAGATGTCTGCTCCACTGGGAGAGGCGGATCCCACCTTCCACCCGGAGGGGGCGGCGAATCAGCCCCTTGTCCAGCTTCTTCTCCCCTGCACAGTGCAGGGGAGGCCGTCGGGGCTGGATCCGGATGGGCTTTTGTAGGGTTTCTAGCAGGGCGTTACCCTGCCCAGACTCCCAGGTGGGTGTAGGGCGACCTCTCCCTGCCAGCCTGACCCCATTTCGGGCGCCTCCATTGGAGCCCGCTGGAGTCTTCCCCCTTAAAAAGGTCCAGGGCCTTGGTCCATCCCTCCGCGCCTGCTTCCGTGGGCCCAGAGAAGGGCTTGCTGTGGTGGGGGGAGCTGGCATTGTGGGCTGGCTATTGGTGCCCCATAGCTGCCCCCTTTCGCCAGCCTGAAATGCGGAGACTGGAGGGAGCCAGTATGGGGGACATCCCCCAGCCGGCTGTGCCCGGGCTGGACTCTTCCTCGTCTCCCACGTGTGTCAAAGGCCCTTGGGAGCAGCCAGGCACGGAACATGCAACAGGCACCTCCGGGCGGTGCAAAAGGGGCGGCTGCTCGGGCCACATCCAGCCCCCTCCCAGGGCCCCAGAAAGCGTCAGCAGCCCAGGAGGCGGGGGAGGGGACCTACCTGCCCAATGCAGTGGGGGCCCCATTCACGGCAATGTCCCTGCCCAGGCGCACATGCAGCCTGTTGCTTCGCTGCCTGTAGCCGAGATGGACTGTAGGCAGATTGGTCAGGAACTGCAGGCCTCTCTCGTTATATAATGCCCGCCAGTGGCCGGGGCAGACGGGAATAACTGACACTTGCTTTAGCGGTAGATTATCATGAATAGATCGGCCACAAAAATAAAAATAAATCGATGGCAACCTCCTCCTCCAGCCACGCTGCCTTGCTCCTGTGCTTTGACTGTAAACAAGCGGAGCAAGGAGCCTGGCTCCCTCTATGCATACAGGGTTCTCCCGTTAGGATTAAGGCCTCTAGGCACTGCTGAAACACACCGAGAGTGTGTGTATGCATATATATAAAGTATCGGTTTGGGCAAGCTCTTCCTCCTTCCTCCAGATTGTGATTCAACTTTTGGTTATTCGGTCTCAACTCGGCTTGGCCCCAGTGGTTTCTGTCTAGCCATTTGCGTTTCAATTCTGGAGTGATCGGATCTGGGGCAAGGTCCAGCCCCGTTTGTTGGCTGTCTTTTCCAAAAGACCAAAGCCCTCCAAGCCGTGGCGTCAGCCCCCGACCAGCGCCTGCCAGAAGGGCAGCGGCCTCAGAGCGTCCAACCCCCCCCCCCCCCCACGCGCCTCCTTCCCCACGCCAGAGCCTAGGCTGGAAAGTGGCAAGGAAACAATCAGCTTCCCCCAGAGCCGCTTCTCCTACCGCTGCCCGCTCGCCCGCAAATTGGGCTCCGTTTCCTTATTTAGCACGTGGACAATGATTTTATTTGCTGTCACTTAGAGCCAAACAAGAACATTGATGTCGGTTCAGCTTGGCCTCTAAAGCCTGGCGAAACAGATTGCGAATAATAATAAAGAAGAGAGGGAGGGGGCGTGCGAGGGGGAAGGGGGGAGAGAGACACCTCCTTCTCCTGGAGGGGGAGACTGCGTCTCCAATGAAAAGTAGTCGCTTACTAGGGGAGTTGGGAGGGGGGGTGTATGGGGGGGACTTTTCCTGTTGACTGTTGGAAGCGAATTGAGCAATTATCTAGTTTACCTTCTCCTCTTGGAAGTTAACGATTGGCGAGATCTTGGCTGCGTTATTGACACAACACTTTCTATTGATAGAAGTAAGCAGCGATTGTCCTTAAGTCACTGGTGCGCCAAAGTAACCTGTGATGGGCTGGCATGAGTCCACTGGACCGGGAAGGCTGGTTCCGCCGGCGGAGGCTCTAATGATGCTGGTGGCGGCGACGGTGCTGGTCTCCCTCCTTGCAGATCAGTGACCAGAAAAAGGGGGAGAGTGGGGAGAGAGAGAGAGGGGGGGAAAAAAGAGGCGTCTACCAAAGCGGCTCAGACAGGCGAACAAATGCAAGCCAGCCATGGACAATAGTAGCCACCACACGGCGACCAAAATCTTAGCAACTTCTCCAGGCAGAGAGAGCCTGTCTGCTCGAAGCAACATGATCAGCACTTCTAAACCCCTGGCTTTCTCCATCGAGCGAATCATGGCCAGGACTCCAGAGCCGAAGTCCATTCCGGTGCCGCCCTTCCTCCAAGGATCCGTGCCCAAAGGAGACCCCAAACACTCGTTGCATCTCAACTCCTCCATCCCCTGCATGATCCCCTTTGTCCCGGTGGCGTACGACCCCCTCCCCAAAGCGGGGGTGGCCGGATCGGAAGCCAGGAAAGCTCACTTGGACTCCTCTGCCTCCCCCTTCAGCTGCGGCGATCTACTGAACTGTGCCCTGAGCCTAAAAGGCGATTTCTCCCGCGACGCCCTGCCCCTGCAGCAGTACAAACTGGTGAGACCGCGAGTGGTCAACCACTCCTCTTTCCACGCCATGGGAGCGCTGTGTTACTTCAACCGCGGCGACGGCCCTTGTCACCCGTCGTCCAGCGTCAACATCCACCCGGTGGCTTCTTATTTCCTCAGCTCGCCTTTGCACCCGCAGCCCAAGGCGTACCTGGCGGAGAGAAACAAACTGGTGCTCCCGTCCGTGGAAAAGTACCCTTCCGGAGTGGCCTTTAAAGACTTATCGCAGGCTCAGCTCCAGCACTACATGAAAGAAAGTGCCCAGATCCTATCGGAAAAAATCGCGTTCAAGAGCTCGGAGTTCAGCCGGAGCTCTCCCAGCAGCAAGCCCAAAGTTTTCACGTGTGAAGTTTGCGGGAAGGCAAGTAACTAACTTCCTTTGCTCGCATAAAGTTTCGATCCATTTGTCTGCTCCCGTTTTAGAACTATCACCCCCCCCCAAGTTGCTTTATGATTCTAATTGTTTTTTTTTTCTGATTTAACTTTCAAGGTATTTAATGCACATTATAATTTAACTCGCCACATGCCAGTCCACACAGGAGCCAGACCCTTTGTTTGCAAAGTTTGTGGCAAGGGCTTCAGACAAGCAAGCACTCTCTGCCGGCACAAGATCATACACACCCAGGTGAATATCTCTCACGCCTATTGCACTGCGTATTTCCACCTGGTTTTGCTGATCGGATCCGACAAAAAAAAAAAAAAACTATTAAAACGGGGTCATTTGGTCGGGAGGCGTTTGTTTTTGTTTTCGTTCGTTTTTTAAACAGGCTTTGCGTCGGTTTCACGTCTGTAGAAAGCCACAGATTTCCAAGCACTGGAAAGCGCTTTGCCAAGCACTTCAATATTTGCTTTTGTTTTGTTTCCTTATAGGAAAAGCCTCACAAGTGTAACCAGTGCGGCAAAGCGTTTAACCGGAGTTCCACTTTAAACACACACACCCGAATCCATGCCGGCTACAAACCTTTTGTTTGTGAATTTTGTGGCAAAGGATTTCATCAAAAAGGTACAAAGTCTCAAACCCCTTCTTGTTATTCTCCTCAGAATCCCACCCCTAGTAGGTAAACAATCGAAATAATTTGCAGGAGGGCTTGCTTTATTATTTATTCATTATTATTTTATTTTATTTTATTTTAAACCCTTGGCTCAGTTTTAACCTGGAGATCAACTTTTTATGTTGAATACTCGGTATCTGAAGTGTCCGATTTAAGCTTGTAGAGGAGTGGAAAAAAGAGAACTTTCGTTTTTTTTTTTTCACATTGCAAGATGCAATTTCCAACCTACTTGAATTCCCCCACCCCAAATGCAATTTGTTACTGTTCATCTTTTTGCTCAGTGTGAGAATCTTTGTTTAATATTAATCTTGGATTCTAGTAATCCTCATGCTATCGTTTAGAATTTTTTACAATACTTGTTCTGTGTGGTTTATAAATCTGGTTTTATTCAGCGCTTTACCGTGTGGTTCTAACAATCAATTTCCTAACCGGAATATTGTGAGTGGGTGGTTTGAGTTGTGTTTTAGTTAAAAACGATCAATTGACAATTTCATCTTGAGCTGGGGTTTGGGGATAGGGCAAAGCGCTCTCCCCAGTGTAGCGTCTGTGACCCTTGACTTGTCTGTTCCCAGGTAATTACAAAAACCACAAACTGACCCACAGCGGCGAGAAGCAGTTCAAGTGCAATATCTGCAACAAGGCTTTCCATCAGGTGTACAACCTGACCTTCCACATGCACACCCACAACGACAAGAAGCCCTTCACCTGCCCCACCTGCGGCAAGGGCTTCTGCAGGAACTTTGATCTCAAGAAGCACGTCCGCAAGCTGCACGACAGCGCCCTGGGACTGCCGCGAGCCCCTGCCGAGCCAGGGCCTGACCAGGAGCTACAGCCGCCGGGCCCGCTGCTGCAACAGCCGCACCATCCGTGAGGGAACTGCAAGCCCGGAGCCCCGCCGGTCCTACTAGCGAGGGAAGCAACCCAGAGCCCCGCGATGCAACCATCCGCCTGCTTCTTTGCATGCACCTGTTAAGCGGTTTTGTGTATTACGCTCTACTTGGCCACTAACATTGATGGACTGGTCGTTTCCTTCTTTTTGTTGTTGTTGGGTTGTTTTGTTTTGTTTTCTTTCTTTCAAGACTCGCTTTTTTTAACATCTCAGGGTTAGAGATGGTTTAAAAAAAAAAAAGCCAAGCCAATTTCTGCTGTATTTATTGGGATCTGTATTATCCGAGCCGGGAATGCTGCACCAATTAATTATTTCGATGTGTGTGTGTGTATATATGTATGTATTGGTTCTGCCCTGTCTTCGATGCCCGCTGGTTGTCCCTTCTTGATAGCTCCCCTCCTTCACCCCCTCCCCTGAATATCGTATCGTTATGGCCAGAGCTGGTTCACTATGTACGGATTTGAATTTCAGTTTGATTCTTGCACGTGGAAAATGAATTCGTTGACCTGGTGGAAATAAATACTTGGAGCGTGATGATTGAATCATCAAGGGCGCATTAGCTATTTACATTATTCAGCTACCAGACCAATGATCCTATTAAAGAGCTGTGATCCCACCATACCGCTTCCTAATGTATTGATAAGGAAAGGCTGGGGGCGGGCGGATGATAGGTAATACCAGCATAGAGGGGCTGTATGTGTGTATTTATGTTTAATCAAAAGGGAAGATGGATGGAAATCAAAACTGTGGCTGATGCCAGGTCCTTGAAATGCTCCAAGTGTTAATCAGCAGCTCTGCTGTGAGCTTAGGCGCTGGTGTTTTCTAACTGCAAACCTCTCCTGTTTTCTTGCCAAAACACTGAAACAACTGCTAAAGACTTTAATTAAGAGGGGGTAATTAGCTCGCATTTATCAAAGCCGGGTCGTTATACTATTAGCTGCTCAGTAGAAGCTGCCAATCCAGCCTTAAAAACTAAGCACGCTCCTACCGGTCGTTGCCTAGAAAGAAAGCGGGGTGGAAGAATGGATGAGCCCGGGAAGGAGATCTTATTTTATGTAATTATTTTAAATCTCTCCTGTGCCAAAACAAAATTAACCTCCCCCCCAATCGGGTGCTATCCTCAGCCATTAGTAAAAGCAGCATCTTTAAGGGGCTTCTTTTGCTACTATTATTTGTTCGCCTCCTCCCCAAAAGAGATGGGAGCCGCACGCGCTGCTCAGAGCCAGGCCGGCCGCGGCCCGGCTGCCCCACGTAACCCTCTCCCAGAGCGGGGGGAGTTCGGGGCTCGCCTCTGGGACGCCTTGTTTAGCATGAAATAGACAAACTCGCCGGGAACATCTTTTCCAGAGGGCGAGGGCAGTGGGCAGCAAGATGGATGCGGGCGAAGCCGAGGAGAGGCGCCAGCTGTGAACCAGCCTCATGTGCCCTTAGCCGCTTCTTCGCCCTCCGCTTGACGCGTTTCAGAGCCGTTGTCCGCATCTGAATTTCGGGTCGTGTTGTACTTCAGAAAGGAAGGGCTTGGAACGGTCCCCTTCCGCCCCCCCCCCCACGCCCACCCGAAGGGGGCCGAGCTGAAGTTACACCGAATGGGTTTACACCGAGCTCAGGTTACACCGTCTGCTGCGCACTGCACCTCGGCAGGACGGTGTCTGACACCCACGGCCGCGCGTGGGAAGACAATGTACCGACCGGGCGGAAAGCCGATCGAGAGGAGCAGAGCCTAAGGGGTTCCGGTGCTCTCCGGGAGACAAGGCGGGAGACTAGCGAGCATTGCCTGGGCACGGACAGAGGGCACAAGGGCTACGACTGTGTGGCCGCAGACACCAGGGAGGAATTTCAGGGAGCGTGCGAACTAAACAGATCCCCGACAAATGATCAGCTCTTGGGACGTTACAGCTGCTCAGTCACGACCTTCGCGTCCCGGCAGACCCCTGGAGGTACGTGTCTCCCAGCTGCGTGGTACGTTGGGTTCTGAGCAAATATTTGGACAATTCAGGTTTCTTTTCCGAGCTTAGAGGATACAATGCTTCTGGCCCATGAACACAGATCTCCAGGTCCTGGCTGCGAAGTTCTCAAACGGATCACACGATCACACCCAGCTCTTCCCTGTGTTTCCAGGATCTGGACTGGCGTCCGGATCCCGGCTCTGTAGAAGGGGTCTGCAGCGGAAGCGAGTCGAGCTGGTTGTAGGGATAGGCCTAGGAGGTCAGGTCAGGTGAAACAGCAGTTTGTCGTTTTGTAAACCATGAGCGGTCCCTTTGTCGTGGTGCGCTGGGGAATGGGCTGTTTGATACGAATCTGTAGAATGGGCATAAACTTTAAACAGACTTCGTTTGTCTAAATATGTGTTGGAAAGTGCTGTAAACGTGGAAGTAGTCTCCCTTTCACATACCTGAGGTTAGCCATTGGGGCTTTAAGAGAAGATTTTATTTGTAGAATAAACAAACCGGTTGAGGTGCAAAACAACGCATCTGAAAGGGCAGCTAAGGTTGCTTGCAGAATCGCTTTCCATTTTCTTCCCAAACTCAGATCCTATGGTGAGATGCCTGAACATTGGATGGCGCCCTGAATGAAATGGGTATGAGAACACTAACTAATACACTGGCGATGGAGCAGTTAGATCCCCCCCCCCACCACTTTCTTTTTACCCAGTATACCAATGGTATGGTGGGCTGGCGGAAATGGAGAGAAGGGAGACTGTTTAATCGGGTCAGAGTGCTGGTGGTTTTGTAGGTCAGAACAAAAAGAGACGGAAACAAAAACTACAGGTGGATTTAGTTTGCCCGAACATTTGTTAAATCATAGCAAAGATAAGGCGACCGGGAAAGAGGCAGACACCAGAGTATTGCCCCAAAGTGCAATTTGTATGGAAGGCACGTTTGCTCAGGTCTGTGTACGAACTGGATTAGAAAGTCTGACCCAAGAATTCTGAGAATATTAGGGGCGGGCGGGGAGAGTATTTGGGGTGTATCCCAATTCCCCTTCTAACCAAGAGCCGCCTACTGCGCAGGAGAGAAACGGGAGTCAGGACTGGAGCCTGTCGGCGGGCGGGCCGGCGGGCGGGGAGGGTTTGGGTTCAGCTCCCTCGGTCGGGATTCCCTGTCTTTGCGGGTGCGCTTCAGGGGCCACTCAGTCTTCCGCTGACCAGTGTCTCCCCGCAGACGGAAGGAAGGAGGCGGGCCCGAGTGGCTGATCGGCAAAGTAGAAGGGGTTCAAAGTAGAAGGGGCCAGGCAGCTCCGGAGTTCTCCGCGGCGTTGGCTCTGGGGCGGCACTGTGCAGCCTGGCTGCCCTCTATTGCCCTCTCGCCGCCTCTCCTGCGGGGTCACCGCGCCTCTCTTGTATATCAAGGCAGTTTCAGGCAAAACGCCCGATGCTTCTGCCGTGGAAACCGACGGAAGTTTGGCGCCCATGGGAGGCGGATCGGAGCCGGCCCCGCTGCGTGCGGGGAGTGAAGGGAGAGATCAGCTGGCAGCCGCGAGTAGCAAGGTTCAGCTTTCACACCTGTTGTTCTTCATCGTCCGTGTGAGGCGCGCCTGGTGCCCTTCTGATAAAGTCCTCTCCTCTGGAGACCTCAATAGAAAAAAAGGAAGAAACGAAACACGGCCGAGGCGCAGGGAGCCTGCTAAGGTCGTAGTCAGTCCGCGATCCGCAGTCGGGCACAATTCTTCGCCTGTGTAGGAGCCTGGGGAAAGGAGAGTTTCAATCGGCAGCAGGGCTAAACTGACGGAGCAGAGCTGGCTGGGGAAATCCGAGCAAAGGCCGATGTTAAACACTGACTAGTGTGGCTGGGTTTCACCCACAGGAGCACTGGCCGTTGCCCACTCTTCACCTAGATTTCCAAACTGCCCCCTAAACACTCAGGACTAAGGACTAGGAAGAGGGGCAAAAACCATGGCGCCCTTCCGGGTGACTTTGATGTAAGGGTGGAGATGGAGGGAGGGTTCATCTCCGAGGCATTTGTAGTCCTATCGGTCTTGAATCTGACCTGTTGTAAGATTTGTGTGTGCTATAAATGACCAGAGTGGCAAAATGGGAAGCCCCCCACCCCCCGCCCAGTTTCAGCTGCGCTACAGTGGCGCTTCAGTGTGGACGCTCTGGGTGAGGTTCTCCCATCCCTGTAGTAAATCCAGCTCCCCAGAGGAGGTAGCTAGGTCCCCAAGAATTCTTCCCTGGTCCTAGCACTGTCTACACACCCCTGAGCAACATACCTGGGTGGCGCCAACATTTTAGTGTAGACCTGGCCTCTGAGTTACCAGAGGGTAGTTAAATACCACGGTCCAAAGCAGAACAAGCAAACGCCAAACAACCACAACCCAATCCCCTTTCGTTCAAAAGGAAACTATGGAGGAGTTGAGCCTCAACAAGCTGTTTGGAAGTAGCCAAGTGCCTGACAGCCCATGTGCAGTAATCACCTCTCAGGACATTTCCAGGAGTCATCAGGTCCCTCCTGCAAATCATTTAGAGTTCAGCAGGGACAAACTGCAGCTGAGATGTGTGAGGGTGGGGACACCCATCACTCATCACATTCTTAGGGGTATAGAACGGCTTCCCTATGAGGAGAGATTAATAAGGCTAGGACTTTTCATCTTGGAAAAGAGGAGACTAAGGGGGGGATATGATAGAGGTCTATAAAATCATGAGTGGTATAGAGGAAGTAAATAAGGAAGTGTTATTTACTCCTTCTCATAATACAAGAACAAGGGGCCACCAAATGAGGTTAATAGGTAGCAGGTTTAAAACAAACACAAGAAAGTATTTTTTCACGCAGGGCACTGTCAACCTCTGGAACTCCTTTCCAGAGGGTGTTGTGAAGGCCAATACTATAACAGGGTTCAAAAGGGAGCTAGATAGATTCATGGAAGATAGGTCCATCAATGGTTATTAGCCAGGATGGGCAGGAATGGTGTCCCTAGCCTCTGTTTGCCAAAAGCTGGGATTGAGTGACAGGGCATGGATCATTTGATGATAACCTGTCTGTTCATTCCCTTTGGGGCACCCGCCATTGGCTACTGTCAGAGGACAGGATACTGGGCTTGATGGACCTTTGGCCTGATCCAGTATGGCCGTTCTTATGTTCTTAACCCCTGTGCATGTCTGGGTTACCTAGGCCTAGGCGGTCCAGCAACCTAGTAATGAAGCCCCTGCTTGACTGAACTAGATTGAAATGAAAGATTTAGCGTGTTTGTTTCCCCGGCCTATATTATCACATGATACCAATGATGTTGGTAGTAAACTTTTAAAATGTCCATTGACTGGACTTCACCAGTCTTTAGAGAGACTAGTGGGTGAGGTAACATGTTTTATTGGACCAACTTCTGTTGGGAAGAGAAATGAGCTTTGGAGTTTCAACAGAGTTCTTCTCCAGTTCTGGGAAAGATTTCCTGCAGAAGAGCTCCAAAGCTTGTCTCTCTCCCCAACAGAAGTTGGTCCAATACAAGAAATTACCTCACCTACACTGTCTCTCTAATATCCTGGGACCAACACATCTACAACAACACTGCATCCATCAAAGTCTCCAGTACGGTTTCCTTGCCTATCACTGGCACACTGGGGTGACAGAACAGTATTACAACGATGTGATGCGAATGCAAATCTGCGGAGAATCTGTT